TAAAAAGTCGCTCGGCGCACATTTCGTTAAGATCTCGCGCGCTTTCTCGTCTTAGTAATCGAAACTGTAAAATTGCCAATATTAATAATGACTACGTCCAATAGGACAGATTTCAAACAAACGAGTGCTTGTTGAATCACTTGAATCGTCTTTCTATCGTTTGCGGTTGCCGAGATATAAGCGTTTAATGAAAATAAAAAATCGCTTGGCGCCCGAATCCTTAAGATTTTACGCGCTTTCTCGTCTTAATAATCTTAATAAACGGAAATAAAATGATTGCCAATAATAGAAGTGAGCACGTCTAATAGAGTAGAGCACGATGTAAAAAGTGCTTTTTGAATCATCTTTCTGTCTCTTATTGCCGAGATATATAGTATAAACGTTTAATGAAAATAATGAATGCGGCGAGGCGCGCGATTCTTTTTGCCAGCTCGCACTTTATTGCTTAATTTAATAAACGAAAGTACATACGTGCGAGTAATACACGTGAGAAATACCAATAAGGCAAAGTACGAAGTACAAAATCTTTTTTAATTCATCTTTCTATCATTTACGGTTGCCGAGATATAAGCGTTTTACGAAAGTCAAAAATCATTTTACGCCCGATCGTTACGGCACGCGCGCCCTTTATTATGTTAAATAAACGGAAGGACGTACGTGTTAATAACAAAATCGAGATATTCCAATAGCGCAGAGTATAAACTAAAACTAAACAGTCCTTTTTGAATCATCTCTATATCTTGGGTGGTTGCCCAGATATTTGCGATAAACGATAGGGAAGACTTTTTTCTCGCGCCAAGCCAGCGACACATGGCCTTGACCTACTTTCGACGAACAGCTGTACATTATTGATTTTTACTTTCTAAATTGGCCTTGACCTAGATCTAGATCACCGAGTCCGGGAATGCCGGCGCGCGGCGTGTGTGTGTGTGTATATATATGCACGGCAACGTCTATCCGTAAAATTCATAAATATTTCGATGTTTTTGCTAACTGATTTATAAGGTTTATTTTAAGTAGCGAAAGGCCTGCTTCCATCAGGCCAGCGTCGTTTACGCTGTCACAGCTTCCTCCCTAATGTGAGATGTATTATTAATGATGTTGCAATCACATTAGCGTTAATTACAATATTTTATGTCGTTTTTGAATAATGTTTATATCTGTGGTGGTTGCAGAGATACATATAAAAATGTATTAATCGTTGGCTAGCATTATGCAACAATATTCTGAGACTTTTTACCGTTTAATGTTGTTCGAGAGATCATGCACTATGTTAAAGGGCACATAACAATGTTAACGTAACGTCATCTTTTAAGAATTCTCTAAAATTCGTATGCTGATTTAGGAAACGTTTTTATTGTGGTTTTTTATTATTCAATAACGTTTTAAAACATTTTATTTTAAAATGTTTTAAAACGTCTTTGAATCGCATATTGTTTATTGGCATAAAGGCATAAACAATGTACTATTAATATTTTTAATATACCTTAACCAAAAAAGATCCGACGGCAACGGTAATCACCGATAGGATATTCATTATTACATACTCGTATATTAAATCAACATGACAGCAATTGTTCGTATCGATCAAATATATTTTGCAATATACGAAGATTCTCCTGATTATAAAATAGTACCTTTAATTTGTTGGCAATTTAATTTGTTTATTAATTAATGAAACAAACTATCCCCTGAAACCACGAGGTATACTTCGTTGGATAAAACATTCATTACAGTTGATTTTAATTTGTTATCATCTTATTGTTAATCTTGCAATATACACATATATGCGTACGCGTGAATTATAGAATACATATATGTATCACATAAGCAAATGTTATTTATAAGTACATATTAATTTAATGAACAATACATATTAGTATTAAATTATTATTAAGTAATAGTGAGAAATACATTATGTATTCGTTGACACGCTTGAAAGATCATAAAAATTATGAAAAAAATTTTGAGTTGTGAGAAAAGCGAGAATCGCGAGTTTGGAGTCGTCTGTAATTCCTCAGAAATCGCTCCTGTTACGCGGGAAGCATGATAAGCAAGGAAGTTGCACTGCAGGAGGTATTCGAACAGCGCGCAGCGGCAAAACGAGTTTGCAGTCATTTGTAATTCCTCAGAAATCGCTCCTGTTACGCGGGGGGAAGCATGATGAGCAAGGAAGTTATTCCGGCAGCGCGCGGCACGCCTACCCCCACTTATTACCCACCGCCGTCGGAACGGCGCGCGGTACGGATGCCCCCAGCCCAGCCAACCACGACGGCCAATCAGAACGCTGGCGGGTATGCACAGAAGGGGCAGTAGGCTCCCGCGCTCTGACCAATAGCAGCGTTGAGTTCGCGGAGGCAATGTGGGGAGGCAACACCCTCGCTCAGAATACCTCCGTTAACCTCCTTGCCTAACATGCTAGCCTGATACTTTTGCCGATTTAAACGGAGTTTTCGACACCGAGAATCGCCATTTTCACCTAACGGGCAATTTTAATATGTACTTTCAACCATTTTTATGATCTGTTGTGCACTTCTACGATACGTAATCAAATTTTTCTAATTGTTTAATTTTAACCTATTATTGAAATATAAAATTTCTTTTATTATTATATTCATTAATTTATATATTCGTTTAAATTACAAGTAATTCACACTTATGCGGCGCGCAAAACGCTCCAATTCATTTCTCACGCTAAACATGACTAGAGAATTGAAGGAACACGTAATGTACATGTTTTCCACGAAATAGCGAGATACATTACAAAGACTTATATTATTTTGCTAAAAAATTTCTAATTATTTAATAAAGATTAACAGCATAGAATTCGGAGCTCTGTTTTTCTCGTCAATCACCATTTTGACAGCATTCTAAAACATTCTATCATCTATTTTGCTTTTCGTTCCCATTTCCAAATACAAGATATTACAAGTATAAAGATGTTTCTACAGATGTTTCTTAAGATTATTCATGCAGCGTCGTCTGTCGGAAATCTGAGCTGACGTTTTTCTTGACGTCATAAAATAATTTATTTTTTAAACTCTTTCTTGTTGAAATTATTAAAAGAATGCATACTTTGCATTAAAGGATACTTAATTGACATTATCAACATAAAAATATGTCTCGTGAATTGTCCAGTACTGTATATGTCGGAGTTTAGTGCTTCATCTCTTTCATGGGGGGATCACCGTTATTAAAAAATATTCTAAAGCTTCTTATCGTTAAATTAATTATTACTAGATAATGTGCTTTGCATTAACCTTTTCGCTCCTATAACGCCGGCTATAACTGGACGAACGACACGCCTAATCTCAAGAAATACGTTATTATCTTATCATCGTTACGTGTCCTTTAACGTGAGGCATGCTCTCTCGAACAAGAATAAACGATAAAGAGTTATAAAATGCTTCTGCATAATGCTAGCCAACAAAAAAAAGGAAACTACGAATGCCGTCGCTTGCGCTCGGCGAGAAGATAGACAATCCGAAATGCTACGAACGACACTGGGACATATCTCGAGAAATATATTTATTTTAACATTGTTATGTATGCTTTAATGCCAGACTTGCTCTCCCAGATGTAATTAGACGCTAAAGAGTTTTAAAATGTTGTTGCATAATGCTAAATAACAAGAAAAAGGTTATAGCTGCGAATGTCGACAGGCGGCGTTGGCTGCAAATAAATCTCGAGAAATACGTTTATTTTAATATTGTTATGTATTCTTTAACGCGAGGCTTGCTCTCTCGAATGTGATTAGACGATAAATAAAATTATAAAATGCTATTTCATAATGCTAGCCAACGAGAACGAGAGGTAGCTGCGAATGCCGACGGGCGGCGTTGGACGACAAAGTCGGAGCTCCGAAATATTACACGCGACACCAAATAAATCTTGAGAAATACGTTTATTTTAATATTATTATGTATTCTTTAATGCGAGGCATGCTCTCTCGAATGTGATTAGACGACAAATAATTGTAAAATGCTGTTTCATAATGCTAATACCCAACGAGAAAAAGGTATAGCTGCAAATGCCGACGGGCGGCGTTGGACGACATAGTCGGAGCTCCGAAACACGATAACTAAATGAATCGCGAGAAATACGTTTATTTTAATATTGTTATGTATCCTTTAATGCGAAGCATACTCTCTCGAACAATATTAGACGATAAAGAGTTGTAGAATGCTGCTTGCATAATGTTAGACAACAAGAAAGAGGTATATAGCGGCGAATGCCGTCGATGAGAGTCGATCGTGGCTTCGAAATGCGACGAATGAATCTCGAGAGATATGTTTATTCTAACATTATTCTTATGTGTTCTATAACGCGAATTATGCTCTCTTGAATAAAATTGAACGATAAAGATTATAAAGAATTTATTGCATTTCGGAGCTTCTTATACCTTTCCGACGGCATTTGCTGCTACCTCTTTCTCGTCAGCTGGCAACATCATTCTGTAAGTCTTTATTGTCTAATCCTGTTAGAGGAAGCATGCCTCTCATTAAAAAACACATAACAATGTTAAAATAAACGTATTTCTCGGAATTTGTCTGGTGTCTGCGGTGCCGTTCGTCGCATTTTGAAACTTATTCGAGCGCCGAGTGATAATAAGTTTTATAGAATACTGTGTTAAAGTGCGATCGACGAGAAGGAAAAAACTCCGAAAATCCGCGCACGATACACAACGATTTTCGAAAAATGTCTTTAAATAACATCATACGCGACAAAAATCCATGAACGTACCGAATTTACTTTGAAATACACGAAATATAACATATTAAAAGCACACCGCACACACCGTACATTATTATTTCTTTTGTATAAGTTTAAATATTTTGTTGCGTGACGTAGTAACAGGTATGCGGACGAGGAAGTTTGAAAAAAACCCCCCGGACCTGAGAGGTCCTTATTCAATCTTGCGTAAGCCCGGTTTTTGAAGACTAGCTATTCTTCTAGTTTCGTTTACGTTGTACTCCACAAAGGATACTGATTGTTTGCAGCTTCAGTTCCCTGAGAATTATTGTTTGCCACATCAATCGCTGTCGCGGCATAATGTTTCTTGTCAAGGAGGGAAACGAGGTTATTCTCGGTTCTCGTCGTGTCAGAGAACGACGTGCCCTCGAATGACGTGGCAGATTTTATTGCCATGATCAAGCAACGCGTCGGGGATTCCAAATTGCAAATTGCAAATTGCAAGTTTATCAGACTTAAATAAAGGTGAGTGTACGTTGTACTCCACGTTTCATTTATCTGGTTTTCGTGACGTTGAATGTGTATGTTGTTTGCAAAATGCTTTCTCTATACAACAATGAAAAGAATGATAATCTATTCTGTATTCTAGAACATGTTACACAAGGTTTTCGGTTGGAAAAAGTTATGGTGAATCTACGTTTGACGTCTCTTTCTCTCGTCATTGCTATTTTTAAACAACTCTTCACGAACGAGGATTTCTTAGCGGAAGCATTGAGAATTCTGAAACCCAACTGTTTGCTTGTCATTCGTGAACCGCTACCAAATAGAAAGCCAGGCACTGCACATTTGTATTCCGACATCAGGATATCTAGCTTGAAATTATCTGGTTTCAAAGTAAAAGATACAGACCTGAAGGACTTCGATCTGGAGAGTACAAATCTTTTGCTAAAAGTATATAGCGATATAAAAGAAGTTGGCACAGTATCGACGAGTAAACCGTCATTTGAGGTAAATTGATTTCTTTTATTTGTATGTGTGAAGGAAACCTTGCATAGCTTTCTGTTATAATTTAGATGGGTTCCAGTATTCCTCTTTTATTCGCAAAAAAGGCAACTAATGTATAGAAATTAGATGACCCGGTAGAAGAAGATTTAATAGATGAAGATAAACTTTTGGATGAATCGGACCTTGTAAAGCTAGATGCGTCATCCTTAACAGCTGTGAGATTTTCGTTATATTAAATATAATTTATTTAACAGAAGTTATGCAAAGTTTCCGTTGAATGTTACCTTCACATACAAATAAAAGAAATACGTATGTCATTTCTATTTTGTTTACAATTTGGACAAAGAGAATTTGTGAATTTGTATAACAAACATCTGATACTTTCAGTCTGTGCGACAACGGGCAAGCAAAAAGCGTGCAAGGACTGTTCATGTGGACTCGCAGAAGAATTAAGTAGCACAGATGCACCGAAAAACACTGTTAAATCTTCTTGTGGAAATGTACGTTTCATACTACTGCTTTTTTTCCGAAATGTATAAATTTAAATGTCAAATTTTTATGTTTTATTTAGTGTTATCTAGGAGACGCAAACGCGATTCGTTTTCAGTTGTGTGCAAGTAATTACCCTATTTCTGTATGATTCTAATTATATTTTAAATTCTGTTTCAAGTATTTCTCTTGTATACGTCTATATATTATGTATAAAATAGATAAAATAATTGTTCTTCAAATATAGATATATAAAAGTGTACTTAAATTATAATTCAATCTTATTTCATATCCTTTTTCTCAATAAAACAATCATATAAATAAAAGATAATTGTTAGTAATAAGAGTAATACCAGATTTAAAAAAAAAGTCTACATTTATAATAGTTACTTAAATTCTATCTTAAAAACATATAATACGAGGTAAAATATTTGGTATTGAGTGCGAACGGTTCAATAATCCTCTTTCTCTATCTTATTCATTTTTGCAAAAGATCCAAGCATTTTTAACACATCATTCGTAATTTAGAAAGTGAGAAAAGAGGATATAATTGCATAACTCAACGAAAATGAAGAAGTTCCGAAAAGCGACATATGACGCTAGACAAAATCTTAAGATATATTTTTATGTTGGCGATGCTATATGCGTATTCTTCAACGAAAGCATGGTCCCTTCTAAAAAATTTAACGATAACAAGTTTTAGAATACTGTTGCATAATGGTGATCGATAAGAAAGACGAAGCTCCGAAAAACGACGCGTGACACTGAACGATTTTCGAGAAATACCTTTTATTAACGTTGAATTGTTCTATAACACAAGGCATACATATTCTCGAAAAGAATTAAACAATAAAAAGTTTTAGAATGCGCTGTAAACGCGATCGATGAGAATCGTTAACACAAAGATGTTTTTCATGAATCGTTCAGTGTCGCTCATCGCCTTTCTGATTTTCACCCTTTACGTCGATTGCCATTTTGTAACAGCATTTTAAAACTTTTTATCACTAATATGTTATTCATGTCTCGCATTAAAGAACACATAATCATATTGATTATTAGATTAATGCAATATTACAATCTTAGACTATAGTATAACTAAAAAATAGCGAGAATTTAATTATGCATCAGTAGAGACGTTAGAAGATAATAAAAATTATATAATAGAAGAATTAATTCGAATGATAAAGTAGGCAAAACTCGGGTTTCGCACCGCGAAATCTCAGAAATTTACTCCTGATATATCAGAAAAGCATGTTGAGCGAAGAGGTTGACGGAGGTATTCCGCGGGTGTTTTGAAATGCGAAATGCGCTGAACGACACTGGGTCGTATCTCGAGAAATATATTCATTTTAACATTGTTATGTGTCCGTGTTAATGCAAATCATGCTCTCTCAAACGAGATTTGACAATAAAGAGTTTTAAAATGCTGTTGCATACGTTTTACATTTCAGTATGCGAAACTTTCTGCCGCATCTTGCGTTTGCATAAATTATTCAAAAGAACATAATTAATAACTATATTAATAATTAGATTAATAGAATACTATAATCTAAAATAATAATTAAAAAATAGCAAGAATTTAATTATGCATCAATAGAGACGTTAGAAAACAATAAAAGTTAATGGAAAAATTAATTCGAATGATAAAATAGGCGAAACTCAGGTTTCGCACCGCGAAATCTCGGAAATTTACTCCTGATATATCAGGCTAGCATGTTAGGCAAGGAGGTTGACGGAGGTATTCCGAGCACGGGTCTTGCCACCCCACATTGCCTCCTCGTAATCACGCTGCTATTGGTCAGAGCGCGGGAGCCTACTGCCCCTTCTATGCACACCTGCCAGCGCTCTGATTGGCCGTAGGCTGGGCATCCTCGTTGCGCGTCCGGCGCGCCGTTCCAATGGCGATGGGTAATAGTGGGGGTAGGCGTCCCGCTGCTCGAATACCTACTAAAAAACTTCCTTGCTCAACATGCTTCCCGCGTAACAGGAGCGATTTCTGAGGAATTATAGACGACTCCAAACTCGAGATTTTCGCTTTCCTCATAAGCTAAAATTCTTTTTCATAATTTTTATGATCTTTCAAGCGCCAAACAAATGCATGATATATTTATAGTTATTACTTAATAATAATTTAATATTAATATCTATTGTTTGTTAAATTAATAATGTTTTTATTAATTACTTTTTTATGTACTTAATGTACTATATGTATTAATAACTGAAACTATACGAATGCAGTGCTCGTGCTCGGCCGACTCGGTTGAAAGGTTGTATAGAAGCTGCGAAATGCGACGAACGACACTGTGACATATCTCGAGAAATATATTCATTTTAACATTGTTATGTATGCTTTAATGCGAGACTTGCTCTCTCGGATGTAATTAGACGCTAAAGAGTTTCAAAATGTTGCTGCATAATGTTAGATAACAAGAAAAAGGTAGCCACGAAGTGCCGTCGGGCGGCGCGTTGGGTGACAAATTCGGAGCTCCGAAATACCACACGCGTGACGCGCCACCAAATAAATCTCGAGAAATACGTTTATTTTAATATTGTTATGTATTCTTTAATGCGAGGCATGCTCTCTCGAATGTGATTAGACGATAAATGATTATAAAATGCTGTTGCATATATGTATAATGCTAGCTAACGAGAAAAAGGTAGCTGCGAATGCCGACGGGCGGCGTTAGACGACAAATTCGGAGCTCCGAAATACGATAAGTAAATGAATCGCGAGAAATACGTTTATTTTAAACTCGAGATTCTCGCTTTTCTCCCCGACAAAAGTTCCGGGAGAAGAGTACGCTCCCCGATTATTTCACGCGATATATCATAACGCGAAAGACACTCAATCCTCAATCACTAATTTGTGCCTTCTTTATTTTTGTCGACGCCGTAAAACCGCCTGAAGCTTTCGTAAATGTCGTTATTCAATTTCGTGCGTTTCCGCGACTTCCGCGGCGCGGACCTGTTTTGAGTCCACTTATTGTTAATTGTTAATCTCGGCATTCGATAAGCCGGCGCTACGCTAGCGATCCTCGTAGTTAGCGGAGCTCTCGTGGGAAACGTTACGTATCGCCAGAATTCGTTGATTGGCGGCGATATCCTGATAACGGTGCGATCTCTCCTGCGATCATCGGTCTCGTTGCCTTTTCGCGCTGCGCGCTCGGTATAATACTTGGCCTTATTGTTAGTCTTGACGATCTCGAACACCTTGCCGCTCGGTCGTCGCGCGATGTCCTTCAATGAATTACTGAGTTTCAAGCAATTACCGAGTAACGCTGCTTTTTTCGCGTTACCAGCAGGATAATACGTGGTCGCCGCGCCAAGATCGATCAACGACGTAACGTTCTGACGTGTCGCGTCGGCGTCGGGTGGAATGACGGTGGTTGTTCGATTAGGACTCGACAAGTTGTTCATCGTCGCGATTTCGATTACCGTCGCGTTCGTTTTTATCCTCGAACAATCAGTTTTGGTGGCTAATCGCGTTACATCGTTCGAAAACGAATCCATATACGAACACGGACGATTCGCATTGTTACTCGAGATTTCTGCTCCCAAGAAATTACTGCAGCTCGGGTAGTGGCTCGTCTTCGTCTCGTCCGCAACCGGCACGGTCGTCGTTGTTTCTTCTACCAGAGATTTCCTGAAATTATCACAACAAGATTTCTCTCGCAATTTCTGTCACATTCTGTCACATTATATTCTGATGGAATTTTGGCAGAAAAGAAGTTGTTCTTATCTCAAAAAAGTATAGCGTGTTTATGATTTATCGTAACTTTTCAATTGAGGTACCGATCGAGAAGCTGTTAGCAGCGGAACTAAGTAAAAAAGAAGAAAGAAAGAAAGAAATTGTCGGCAAAATTGGATACGATTGAAACGCCTTGCACATATACGCCGTAAAACTTGCGTGGATTTATACCGTACTGGCCGTAATGGCAGCGCGATTCGATAAATTCATCATCCAGGACTTCTCTCTCTCTCTCTCTCTCTCTCTCTCTCTCTCTCTCTCTCTCTCT